CTGCGTTGTCGAAATGGGTGATATACCCGAAGCGTAGAGTTGTCCCAGTTGTCAGCAGACCGAGAGCGGCTGATGACACCTGGTGTATCGCTCCTGCTGACAATTGGGGCAACTCTGTTCATCCTAGATCTCTTAGTTATGAGATTTAGCAGTTATTAAGAATACCCGTTAAAACGAGGTCGACGAAAAATAACTATTATTACCAGTAATGAGATTTGACAAGTTACATTATTTGTTCAAGTAGTTTCTTACCAGTTTCAATTTCCAGATATTTCAATGCTTCCTCGGCTAATTTCTTCAGAAGGTCTTTCGATTTAAATGATTTAATTGTATCTAGAGCTGCTCCAAACCTAAATAAAAACAATTCGAATATAAACAGATCTTCATTTCTCTTGATATAGCATTTTCTCTCCTCGTTTTGATAAATTAAAATATTAGTATTATTTCAAAACTATGTGTAGTAAGGACAACCCAAAAAGTTACTGCCTTCAAATATTTCACTATCAGTGTGAGCCTGTAAGAGAAATTCAAACCATAAACAGTCACACCTTCTTTTGAAACATGTTTGAAGAAAAGTAGTATAGATATATCGAAAAAATAATAAATGTTTTTGCTATTGAAAACCATTGCAAAGAAAAACAACAAAGTGAAGTACCTATGTTGGGTCTGGTGTAATGACTGAACCAGTCTAATGAAGACACATACAATCTTTACCTATGCAAGTTCAACTGCTTGTTGAAGTTCGATTCCAATACAGCTGGATCCCTCTCGATGATATCGATTTGGGTGGAATCATGACTGCTCAGCGTCAACTGAGTGAGTTGTCCACCAGAGGTCGCAGACATAACCTCACCGGCATACATCAACAAAGGAGTCTGCTTGGACACCAACACGGTTTGCCCGATTTTCTTGACAAAAGAACCTGAAAGTCTGCCATAATAAAACTAATTGCTCACAACACCTTGTATTCCAGTAAAAGTGCATTCAAGTGAGGTTATGTTTATCAAGAAGTGTAATATACTGAAATACCCAGTATAGCTCAATATTCGTTTTCAAACTGAATTCATATACATATAAATATAATATAATTGTCAATAGGCTACGGGAATGATATTGAATAACTGTGTCTTCATAGTGACCTGACAAGTTTTTGATGTAAATAATGTGTCTATATGCGTTGTTTGAAATTGTGTCATGGCCGCCATTTGACCATGTTCTCGACCGAAAAGATCTAAAAAATGTGGAATTGAAAGGTAATTGAGTGATGATTCTATTTGAAAATATTTAAAAAATTTGTAGTAGAGAAGGTTGTAGGAGGATTTGATTTGATGTTGTGGTTCACAAAAAAAATTCTATCAATTTTTTATACCTTCTATGGATTGGTTGACATAGATGTATGTGCAAATTTCGTGTTCTTCATGTACTATGAAGATATTTCTGTCTGATATATTGCTATCCCACGTGACTCCAAGTACTTTGTTTGGCAAAGAGGGGATAGGTGCTACTTTCATAGAAACCTTAAAAAGAAGAAAGTAATTGAAGTTTTGGCCATAGAATTCTCAACTTATGATTTTCTTCACACAAAAATAGTGTCGATTTTCATCTTCGGACTGTCTACTTAACTTACAGCATTGAAAACATAGCCTTTTGTTTTGGTATCTATAAAAACCAGTCTAGTACCCGCAGGATCTGCAAATATGTATTTTATTCCTATTTCATGTTTATATTCCATTGCTCTAGCCCACTCTTCTAAAAGAAAGTAGACTATGTGCCCCATATCTGTTGCATATATCAAGAAGTCTGCGGTCAACTCATGGCATGTTATGACCATCGATTCATTTTCATTATCGGGAAAAATTATAGTTTCTTTTTCATCTTGACTGGTTTCCGAAGATTCAATCTGAATTCAAATAGAAAAAGTGATGTTTATATGAATTTTAGACAAACTCAGTTACAATCAAATCAGAAGATACCAGCATGGATTGAAAAATGTTTACACATCATCAGCTTCATATCCAAATAAGATCAATGAACTACAAGATTAAATACCTACCAGGTAACACACATCATTGCCATCAAAACATGGCAAACGTTTTCTGGGAAGCTTATGAAAATATCATTTACATACATCATTAATAAGATGGGGCCTGAGAGAGATCCTTGTGGAACGCCAACATCATTTCGTCATAAAATCACCGAGGAAATAGTGTAATAATAACTTACCAAATGCAACTGAAGTTGTCCTTCAAACAAGACCGAAGCATACTCGAGATTTAACCTTATGCTAGTGACGGCTCCTAGATACTGTCTCCCTTTCAATTTGAAAGGGGTGTCTACGGTACCAGGTTGAGATTTCGTTAAATCGTAAAACCATACATTGTTATTCATTCCTGCTGCTAAATGATAAGGCCCCACAGCAATGAAACTAGGTTCAATTTCTAGAGCCACAGGAACTGGTGACAATTTGGCCTGGAATGTTTATTTTACATGAAATGAAGCAATTTCTCTTCTGAAAGCTTCTTCTGAACATCATGTATACAGGGGTTTTTGAATAAAATGGTACTCAGAGGGAAAAAAATGTCAAGATAGGCTGAAGATATGATATGAAATATTTGTCCTTATTTCAATAAACATCGGTACCATCAAAATTACTAGATTTTGATGAAGTGATAGGTAGATAAGTCCCAATAGTGACACATTTCTCAACAAACAATGAGGGCATAACCACATTGCAAAGAATTTACTTCCACCATAGGAGTGTACTGAGGTACACATAATACATAAGTCCTATCATAAAAATTAGTTGCATTGGATTGATCATGGTCTATTTAGGCACGGTAATATTTACCGCGTTTTTTATGAAGGAAAATGAATATTTGAATTAATGTACAGAGCCTTGAGTAAGCAAAGGTTTGTGAATTCATTTGGAATGGTACTGCAAAATAATGTAATGAATTTTTCACTGAAACAGACCCATTGACGATTTTATTTTGATTGGTATTGTATAATATTCTTCATTGATTTCATTCATGGTAGTTTTTCTGATTTATTAGTTTTTTGAACTCTACCTTCTATTCCCATCATTTGAATTTTTGAATACAAATATTTCATCATAAATGATATGATACATCATGAAATTACACAATAAAAGGTGTTCACCTTATCTGCACTGTAATTGTAAAGACTTATTTCAGTCAAGCTTGACAACAGCGCAATTCTAGGTGGGCAAACTGAACTCAAAAGTGGCATGTAGGAAACATAGACATTCAAAGAGCCACTCTTGGTACAAACTCCCAACAGTTGCCCATCTGTGCTCCAAGCAATCCTATCAATTCCTGCTTCCTGAGCAAGATTGAGAACCCCAGATGTCTCTTGCAGGTTCGCCAAATCATGGATTTTTATCCTGCAATTGGCCAAAAAAATGTATACAATGCATCAAATTTCATCCACAATTCATCAAACTATAGAAATTTATGGTAACTTACGTAGTATCACCACAAGATGCTGCTTTACCAGTAATTTCACTAATAGCAATGTCAGTCAATGAGTTTTTGTGATTTCTAATTTGAAACAGCTCTTGTCCAACTTCTTGTATATGAGTAGAGATGGCAATAAAGTAACCATTTGCGAATCCAATCAAGATATAGCCATCTCCATACCATTTATAATTTATTATAGCACCATAGTGTGGTTGAAATGCAAGTTCTATAGGATTATCAGTGTCAAGAAGATTATACAGGTAAAGTGTTTTTCTGGCAACTAACAGACTTACCTAAAATAAATTCATGTAGAAAACATACAATATTATAGGTAGTTATGGAATGTAAATAATTTCAAGTAGTGTAAATCTGATAGGTGAATGAATAAATTAAAAACTTGCAGTGTTTTCTCCACTAGATCTCTCATCAGTTTTCATTTCAGAAAAATGAATTTCTGAAGGTTCTGCTCTCAGGGTTACAACCCTCAATGTATCCCCATCAATGTTACTGATGGACAGTGTTTTGTCATCAGACCCAAGAGCTAATAAATTGTCACTATTCCAAGCACCACAAGTTATTTTCTTAGAATGTTTTCCTATGACTGGGGTACGCCTGAAAGATAACAATTTTCATTATAATTCCCCTATAGTCAAGTAATTGCTAAACACTAACTCAGATGTGGTGTGATTGTAAATAGATACATTCCCCTTTGCTGTGCCTATTGCGAGAATGGGGGCTTTTTTACCCCATATTAAACAAGTCATTGAATCCTTCAATCCTACATCTATAGTATTCTTTTTCTGTGTATTAGCATCCCACAATATCAACTGAGGAGCCTGACAAATTATTCCTAAAATATCACCATCCTGGTCCCAAGAGAAACCTGTACAGAGACTAGGCAGTTTGATTCGTTCTTGAACATCTCCATATCTGTTGAATATGTTCACCATGGAATCAACTCCTGTAGTGGCCAGATACATCCCAGAACCTTTTTGCCAGGAAATGTATATGTCGCCCATGCCATGGGGCTGCTCAAGTCGAAATAGTAGCTGTGAAACATAATCATTAACAGGATAGTTGATCTCTCATTATAAATAATCATAAGCTGAGAGGCACAATCATTTTCAAGTTCAAACAAATCACATAACTTTACTCACTTTTTCTGATGACATTTTCAATGGATAGGTATACTAGTTTTCAAATACACTTTTACATTCAACATCTTTGAACATTTTAACCATTTTCAAAATACAAACAAACCGATTTTGACAAGTTAAATTATTTTTGACAACAAAACAAGTTAAATGATTAAACGCGAGAAGAGGAAACAAGTAAGAAGAAGTCACGTAGCACTGTTCTATAAAGATTATTGGCTTCTAAAGAACACGAGTCCTAAGAATTATATGCAAAGAGGATTATAAGACTAAAACAATAAACCCCAAAGTCAATAATGGTAATGAGTATTGGAACTATATAATATTATGACAATGGAAAATGAAATATCTGTTAAAGCAAGTGACGCGAATCTAACCTCCCTTATAGTTCTAGTTCTAGCTGAGAAAAAAATTACAAATTACAAAATTAATAATGTCTAGCCAAACTAAAGATATTACCAGGAAAGAAAACGTGGTGCAAGCCATAATTGTTGCTGACACGTTTGGAGACGAATTTGTTCCAATATCAGACACCATTCCTCACGTATGATATCCACATATTGAATGATGCAATTCATAACATTTTTTGGTTTCTATTTCAGGCTCTCTTACCAGTTCTCAACAAACCCCTTATTGATTACACTCTGGAATTTTTATCTCTTGGGGGAATTGAAGAGACATTCTTGTTCTGCTCTAATCATGTGAATTTGATTAAGGAACACATCAAGTCTGTGTTTCACTCATCATGAGATCATTATTCTAACTGATTTATTTTAGTAAAAGTATTAAAAATGTAGAAGGTTGGACTCTGACTATGAAAGTGAATATAATCATTTCTGAGTCCTGTCATTCATTTGGAGATTGCCTCAGAGATTTAGATGCTAAGGGATTACTAAGAGGTGATTTTGTGTTATTAGAACCTGGTATAATCTCAAATGTGCAGCTGTTATCACTACTAAAGAAGCATGGGTTAGTTGCAGCATTTTATTTGAACAACAAATAATTATAACTTTAATGTACCTACCTATTTAACTAATTCCTTACCCAGTTATTGACTATAATAACTTCTAGTGAGACAACAAAATTTGATAAATATGCTTCTATGACAATGATTCTACAAGAAGCTGGTATAGGACATATTGGAAGATGTCCTGAGGAAGAAATCATCATAGCTACTAATGAACAAAACAGGATATTATTTCACAAAAAAATGGGAAAGACAAAGGAAAGAAAACTAGAATTTCCTCTGGTATGTATCAATAAGGCATATTTTATTTGAATTTTTATGCAAAAAACACATTTTCATTTATACCCAACTGCAATTTCTAAGATACTAAGAAAAATCATGTACCTATGCCTCAACCTATGCCTACCTCAAGCAATCATATTATATTATTATATTCCTCCAAAACCTAAAATTTTCAATTGGAATGAATATCCTTTTTGAGGACCAACCACTTGAGAGTTAATACACCAAAAAATATCTGATCAGCATCTTTTCAGTAGGATTATAAGATACTCTTATCAATATTTCAGGATATATTTCTGGAAAATTCAGAAATATCTCTGTTGCACAACTTGAAAGACACTCATATTGCAATATGTTCACCTTCTGTGCTGCCATTATTTTCGGATAATTTTGATTTTCAAACAAAAGATGACTTCATAAAAGGGCTGTTGATGAATGAAGAGATTTTAGAAGGCACACTTTATTGTCATGTACTGAAAGGAAGTCAATATGGAGGTGCTATTACCAACTGGAGAATGTATCAAGCATTGAGGTATATAATCTATTGCTACCTTCACATTTCACATCAATTTAGTCAGAAATTGTTTTTAGTTATGAGCTCCAGAACAAATGGATACATCCTCTTTCCTCCCCTAGAAAAAGGTAACCAAAAAATTAATGTTTATCCTTGCTTAATTACACTGACAAGATGATCCACCTTGCAAGTAAAATGTTGTTTGTTGAAGCCAAATTTGGCCTTGGTTCTTGGCCATGTTGCCAACCAGAAAATGGGAAGTGGACTCTGATAATGAATTATTGGCATTCAATTACTCCACTGTGTCATTAGGAACCTGAATTAATTTTCTCACTCTCTTTTCATGTAAATAATAAGTCTATGCCTTGTTTGAAACTGTTGAATTTCAGAGCATATTTCAAAAGAACCGTCATGGCCGCCATTTGTTGATAGGACCAATAAATAAATGGTGACATTAGTTTTTATGCTGTTTCTTCATTGGTCAGATAATTTTCTATTTCCACTCTTGAAGCAATGAGGTTGTCAAGTCACCAATTATAATCAAGTTATCAAAATTATGTTAGAGTTCTGTCTTTGAATAAATCAAAATAGGAGGAACCCATGATATTATAGTTCATTCTTGAGTTTTTTTCGAGCAACCATCATGTCCAAATATTTCTTTATCATCCATAACAAAATATCATGTGAATGTTGGGGACTTGGCAACATTGTGCTGAATGCTGAGAAATGACACCCCACAAGTCCTGTGCTGTGTTGTATTGTTCATCCATACAAATGTTCTCTAGTGTGAATTAATATAATTATTATTTACACAAATTTATTATTATTTTGAGAAAATTGATTTTTTTTTGCTAATTAGGAGTATTACCAATACTAAATTGAGAATTTAAGAATTATTGAATTATTACTAATATTTCTGAAGTTCCCAATCGTATCTCAACACATGGCAACTGTGCTATGGTCTGCCGCATGATGACAGGCATAGACAAGCTTTTAGACCAATCAGGTCGATTTTGGCCTTGGCGGTAAATTCGAATCGCGGATCTTGGCGATTTTGAATCACGGAGTCATTCATCCAATAATGAATTATTTCTCAAGTATCTGGTAACATCGAGAAGCAATTGATGAAGTATGTGATTGGAACTGGAAAATGAAATTTTTTTTGTCTGAAAAACACGTATTTGATAATGAAAATATGAACAATTCACTATTTATCAAGATATTTAAAGAACAAGTTCGAAATTTCGCCTTCTTTTTCCCCTCATTTACAGGTTCTTGCTCTTTTTATTTTGCCATTGGACACTTTATATACTCATGAAGTTCTTCAATGGCACATTTGTATATAGAAAATTCAACAGGAAATATGATTTTCATGGCGTATTTTTTATATTTAGTTGAACAAGCATACCAGATGATGGCCGTTTAATCAAGTCAATGCTTTTGAATGACATTTACACACGCCATTATTTTAAATGATATTCTTCCTTCTTTTCACTAAATATGGATAAATCACAACAAAATTATGTTTCTTTAGTTGACTCATATAATAGGAAAAAAAATGTGTGACTTGTAACTTCATAGTGAAATATCTTGATAAATAATAGTTTGTTCACATTTTCATTATCAAATTCGTGTTTTTCAGACAAAAATACGTAAGTACCAAAAAAAAAGCTTCGAAAAAAAACCATTGCATGATAAATGCAGTTTTACCATTTCCTTTATTCTCGTGGTCCAAAGGGGAAGTAAGTTCTATGAATATTAACACAGATATTATTATTGAGATTGTATTGGGTGAAGTGCGTGCGTATTTTACCTCTATTTCCGATTTATTGACTAGAGTTGATCGAAATCAATGAAAATCTGCCATCACTTGTGGTCCAGAACTCCGAGAGTAGTTTTTAATGACTCCAATGTCCAGAATAATTCAAAATTCAAACCATTTCAAACTGTTGTTTATTCCGAATTAAAAAACTTGAGCCGAAACACTCACGCGTAAAACTCAACGATGTGATTGGTCTAAAAGCTTGCCTATGCCTGTTATCGGGGCGTTTTGAATACGTCTCAGGTAACAAGCTGACGTCATTTGTACGTCAATATATGGTCATTTATGGTCATTGACGTCATATGACCTCAAAATGACGTCATTTTGACGTACTTGATATGACGTTATATAGACGTCCTTGATATGCCGTCAATATTACGTCATCTGATGGTCATTATCATGACTAATTATGACCATCATTTATTGAGTCGCGTGCTGGTCTGCCCCCTCTTACAAAATCGTGGCGTCAGTTTTTACCGACCGGAAATTTCTAGCCGTTTGATAATTACCGTGGCATTATTGATGATTTTAGCACCTGAAAATCGACCGAAAAATTCTTGAAAAACATGAAATTGAAAGTGATGATTCTATTCACGAATTGAGAAAAATAGTCTACTCGCCATTATGGACTTACAATTTTGATACCGATTGGCAATTGATTATTATAATAAATTGAAAAATAATTTTATAGCAGCATGCATTTTTATTCTGTGAACATATAAATATAAACAACAAAGTGAAATACAATTTTTAACTATTCTTTGACAGATCCAGATATGTTTGCTGCTTTTGGCTGCATGTATATATTAATCATTTACATACTTTTTTATAAACTGTACACTCCCACCAGAACGTTATCTAGTACAACATAGGGATCACAAGTTGATTTGTTTTGTTTCCATTATTCAAAAGATTTTGGGGAACCCGGAACCCCCAAAAAATCTTAATTATCATAGACATAGAAAACGTTATTGTTGAGCGGACTAGAGCCCTCTACCCATACCTACACAATTTGCTTTGTAGTACTGGCACGACACTACTACTGTGTCGTTTCTCTGTTCAAAAAGGAAGCTCAAACTGTTATAATATAGATGTCGCTGGCTTTACGACAACTCAGAGCTTATACTGCTTGTGATGAAAAAATTGTTTCAGAATTTTGACTACATACACACCTCTGAGAGATTAGAGATTAAAATTGGGGCTAAATCCCGCTATGCATAACGGAATTCCGCTACGGTTGGCAACATGCAACACTGGTATAGATCGGTAGTGCAGAATATATTTGAAGTTTATTTTTGATATTTTCATGCAAGAAGGACAGAATATCACAGTTAGTGATTTTCCTGCTTCAGCAAGAAGAATATTCCCAAGGACTATGTAGTTATAGTCCTTGGGACATTCTTAGATAGTTCAAATATATTCTGCACTACCGATCTATTCGCGGGAATCAATGTTACCAGGTGGCGCTCGGTTTTCATCGTTTCATGTCAAAGCCACGTCAAAACTGGGGGAAAACAAACTTAATCCTCACTCAATTGACTCAATCCTATTAGTGCCATTTGCTTATGTACTGTGTACTGATAAGAGTGATGTTTTTAAATTTCTTGACATTAATTGTCAATATTCGATCGAAAAAGCTAATAATGCCCGTTGTAGATGTTCTTTTGGCAGATATTTTGCTCTATTTAGATGGAAAAAGCCGACCAGTAGTGGAAGGAAAAGCAGTTCTCCGTGCTAATCATGTGATTTTGTGTGAGGCAGAAGACTTCAACAAAAGGCACATTTTTGCACTTTTTCTACAAACTTCGGCAATGAAGTAAAATTGAAGTTGGGGTCCAGATGAACTCCTGTAGGACAATGGATTTGTATTTATTCATGCGAGGCAGGACAATCTGGGTATTGTAAACATGTTGTAGCTGTTCTTTTATATGTCAATTGATTTGCTCGTTATAATTAGTTTGAATTGTTTGAACTATCTCCAATTTTTCACCCGTCCACTGTTCACTAAGCTATTAAAAATTAAATAATGTAAAACAATTAACCAACTCAACCATCATCACTACCCACAGTGCCAACAATTTATGTCATTGACAAGTTTGACTACAGCTACAGCAAGCTGAATGCAATGTAGTTTATGCACTTTATCCATAGACAGCAGTTTGTTTTTCCCCAGTTTGAAGTTCGTATTATATAATCTAGATGTCGCCTACTTTGTAAATCTCGCGAATACCCTTCCCTACTCAACAGAAACTATCGTTAACCTTATTGCTCAAAGATACCGCTACCGGCGCCACCTACTGAATAGAATTTTTGGCTTCCTTATTACTGTCATAAGGATGCTTCATCTTGTTAGTGTAAATAATAAAAACTGATGTATATTCTTCCACACTAACATATGCGTTCATTAATTGATATGCCTATATAATTTTAGGAATCGTCTAATGAAAAATAGTGTAATCATTGGAGAAAATACAAAAATTCCTGAATCAGCCCACATTGAAAGATCAGTTCTAGGAGAGAATGTAACAGTTGGTCAAAACACCAGGGTAGAACATTCATTCATATTTTCAGATTGCAAAATTGCAGATGATGTAATTATTTCTCATAGCATAATAGGTCCACACTGTGTTCTGAATGAAAAGAGTAGAATAACTGCAGGAAGCATTCTAGGGCAAGATACAGTCATTGAGAAGAATTTATTTGTAGAAAATACTCTGGTACAATCCACAAAACCAGATGATTGTGAGAATATGCGTATATTTCGGTTCTATTTCGTTCATCCTGTATATTTTCAGTTGAAGAAGGTGATAAATTGGGCGCCAAATCGTATAGATTGCGAATTTCTGGTGAAGAGGACGATGATCTTATTGTCTCATCTTTATCCTGCAAAATGTCAAAAATGCACATTCAGGAGGATAATTGTGAATCTGAGGATGAAATAGAAGGTTTCAGTGATAGTGAAGAAGAGGAATTATCATATACTCACTCGCCTCCACCAGATGATACCAAATGTAAGTCAACTGAAAAAAGTATATCTCACATCTTTGAACTATTTTTTGGGGTTCGTCTTTTATTTGAGGAATAAATGTTTGTTGTTGTTCCACATGCTCTAATAAATCTAATCCTTATTATGAATGTTTTCAAGGTTTTTTTTTAATCATTATTTTCTAATTCATTTTATAGCTGCCTGAATACACAATGAAAAAAGACAGCAAATGAATGAATATTTTCTAAACACCATATTTGTAGTTTTATACATTGTCAAGAAGAAAAACTTTGCTTTCAATGAAGTTATCAAACATTGGTAAACATATAATTATTTCATGATGAACTCTCACTTTCTACAAATCATTATCCGATGAGTTGGAAAATATACATGATTCAAAATCAATCCTAAAAAATACCTTGGGGTAATTTTATTAATCTGAACTATCAAAAGATTTTCATCTACAATAATAACAGCATGAACAATAGAAGAAGTAATGTTACTAATCATCGATACTGGAATTGGGTTTCATCATTATAAAGTGTTTTGTTAACATTTCCAGTTTTTAGATTCTTATATCACATTGATTTCGTGACTCCTATCAGCAACTTTTTTTTAGTGTTCTTCACGGAAGTAATCGACAGCTTAACCAGGGGTTTTGAAGATAACCTTTTGTGTGACAACCTCATATTGGAAATCAATTCATCACGATATGCTTACAATGTCACTGTCAAAGAGGTGAATACTTTTTTGTCCACTGTTTACTTAATTTTAGTTTTTTATAATTTGTGATGTTTTGATTTTCTGTTCTCATTTGCTTGTGCTGTAGTATAACATTTACATTTCGTTTCATTCATATAGGATATGTATCCTTGAAAAAAATTTGAAAATTTTACAAAAAAAACAATGTATAAAGTCATTATTCATATTTTTGAAGATTCAACAACAATAATTTCCAGGAGAAAATGTTTTTTTTGTAATTAATTTCAAGTCATCTGTTCCACAAATCGGTAATTTTGCACTTATCATGCGATAGGTTTTTTCCGAAATTTTTTTTTGATACTTACGTACTTTTGTCTGAAAAACACGAATTTGATAATGAAAATGTGAACAAACCATTATTTCACTATAAAGTTACAAATTTCACCTTCTTTTCTGCCTGTCTTTGGATCGCATTTAGAACAATTTGTCCTTCTTTTTCCATCATTGGACAATTTATATATTTCACACAATATGTTGGACACATTTTTTTTATTACATGAGTCAACTAGAAATATGATTTTCTTGTGATTAATCCATGTTTAGTGAAAAGAAGGAAGAATATCATTTGAAATAATGGCCTGTGTGATGTCATTCCAAAGCAATCTATTGACATTTGACATCTCGTATTTGGATTGCCTATGGATTAAATGGCCGTCATCTGGTATGCTTGCTCACTATAAATAGGAAAAACTCGCCGTGAAAATCATATTTCCTGTTGAATTTTCTAGCTCTACATCATGAGTATATAAAGTGTCCAATGACAAAATAAAAAGAGCAAGTACCTGTAAATGCATCCAACACAAGGGGGAAAATAATAATGCAAAATTTCGAACTTTTTCTTGAAATATCTCGATAAATAGTGGTTTGTTCTCATTTTCATTATCAAATTCGTGTTTATCAGACCAAAATACGTAAGTACCAAAAAAATTTTTCAAAAAATAAACCATCGCATGATAAGTTTTTCGAGTTTATAGTATTATACTTTTCATCAGCTGTTATATCTTGCAAAATTCTTCACTGAATCTGAATATTTTATTGGTACTATTAATTATACAATTTTTGACTGAAAAAACACGATATAGTATTTTGTCTGGATAAATTATTTGTTCGAATTTTCAGGTGAATTTCAATGTCATAAAAGCTATTTTAACTATGTCACTGAGGCAGCCTACTGGTGTGCAGTATTTCTCTCATTTATCTCGTTTACTCTCATACTTTGCTCCAGTCCTGAGGAACTACATTCGAAATGAGAATGCAATGGTAGATAGTTTGCAAGCAATTGAGGTAATGTAACTTTTATAACATCGATTTTTCTTCAAATTGGTACCTATTAATTAGTCCTTCCTCCGATTTTCTCATTCATTGATAAATATAGTAGATAATACCAGAATTCAATAATTATTCGAATTCCAAAAATTTTTTGAACATTATCAATACACGTTTGTAGATTGTGTGGAAATGTGACAGTACATTTTGATAAAAAGCTCAATAATCATGTTTCAGGATGTTGCCACATCTAATGAGGATCTGAAGGACAAGTGGGTGATGTTTGTCCTGCAGTATTTGTACGACAAAGACTATATAACTGAAGAAGTTATATTGAGTTGGTTCAAAACTCTGGAATCGAAGTCAAACTTTCATTCACAAGTTAAACCATTTACAGATTGGTTGGAAGCAGCTGAAGAGGCATCATCTTCTGAAGAAGAAAGTGATTGAGATATTTTTAATTATATGTATATTAATTTTATCATGTTATTAAAAAAATTATACATGAATCATTTTTTTTTTTCATTTTGAAGCACACATGTGATGTTTCTTTTCAGTGGTCCATTAATCATTTATTATTGCTGATCCCATAGAATATGTAGGTAATATTGTTTCCATTCTCTCTACACTTTAGTGCACTGGGTGTTATCTCTACTGGGTTAGGTACAGTTGTCTTCAGAGATTATGTCGCACATGTGGACGGTGTCAGCTACCTTGGTCACCTCTGCAATAAGAGTGCTCATACCGTCCAACTGCAACATGTTTATTGAAGACGACTGTACATGAGACAACGATACGATAAATCACAAAAAGAGAAAGGAAATTTTTGGAAAAAATTGTGTGCTGCCAATATCCACATCTTTCAACTATTATTGAACATCCGGCAATATTGCAAATGATATTTTGATCTGTGATCTGGTGATTCCAATGGTGCTGAAAACAAACGCTCGGGTTCGCTTACTCTTCTCTGATAAGCGCTACCTTGTGGAAATCATTTGGACATATCTTTGTTCCATCGTTCAACCTCAGAAAATTTCAGTTGATACAATATATTGGCAAGGTGATGATTCCGATACTTCATCTGGTATCTGGTGGGCACATTTGAACCAGTTTATCAGGACATTCAAGGTAATTTTTGTTATTCTGGTCATTTATTTGATATTTCATGTATTTCATTCTACAAATTACTTTGATTCTCTTTTCATGATTTTCTTGAGTAGGTACAGGAGAAGAACTTCGTATCAGTTACCGACACAATTCTACATTATTTTATGAATCATGAATCAACATATCAATCACAAACCAAGAAATCAACTGTGTTCTGTTGATGGTTGCACTAGTAAACTCAAGAAGTCTTTTCTGAAAATGAAAAATCAGTTCATCAGTTGGATGGAAAAATGGATAATCATGGAGCATCGAATGTGAATTTGAAAACTGGATGTATGAGTAGGTATGTACCTACTACAAAAAATTAAAAAAACTTCCTATATCCTTTACCTTTTCCACTTTCATTGCTCCAATTAATGAAAACAAGGTAAAGTTGTGAATCATATTAAGATAATATTCATTATATCCTGCATAGGATTTTATAGATTCCTATCATTTTTGTATTATTTCTATAGTAATGTAGTAATGATAGCCAATTTAGATTGCATGTACTTCCAAAACTATTGAGTTAAAATACATGAGCAGAATAGCCTTGATTCAAACAATTCTGTACAACCAACAAATCAAATATCTAGGTACCTATTTGTAAATGTTTATTTAGGACCATACTAACATCTTTTTAAATTTTCAGCAAGGAAGAAGGGTTGTCATTCCCATTCCAGGATATCTTGCAAATGAGTGGGAAAAGCTACAAAATGTTTCACCAAAACCCAGATTCATAATATATAATCCGTTGTTTCTTGTTTCTGGTCATTCCTTGAAATTGAATTCAAGTTTAAGGAGATATGGATGATTATTTAGGTAGCTGAACATATCCTTTGTATCTTGGAAATATAGATTCGTAATTTTGCTGCTTCTATGTTTTCATCAAACTGTATTTCATTGGTAAGTACCTCATATAGTTCTAATTTTTTGTGTTTTTGTATTGATTTTCCTGTATTTTTTTAAAGTTCATATTTTTATTCCACAACTACCTCAATGTAATGTCAGAGGATCTTTGTTTATACGTCCATGAGAGAAATCACTATACATGAGCACTGAGAGGAGAAGTAAACTGGTAGATCCTTATGTTAGCACTTCTTTGGAGAGACAAGTAGGTCTTTGAACAAAATATTAATTCATTAATTCATTATAATGCATTGTACTCATACAGTGAAAAACATGTTTTGTCAATGTCTACATTCATTTTCAAAAATTATTAATCAATTAATTCAGTTCCGGAACATAAAATATAAAGATAGATATTTTTATTCAGATCAATTCAGTATAACAAAATGATACCAAGAAATAATTATCTACCTTTAATAATCACTTACAAAAATCATCTAGGTCATCTGAACAAAGTTTTATGTTGTGGAACTCCAGATTACTCAGATTTCATCAAAATGATGAAAAAAAAAAAAATAATAATTTCACAAGATATAGATGAACACCAAATCTAGGATACCACCTATCTTAACTTGATTGTGTTGTGTATATTGTATATTGTTATTATAAAAATGAGTACACTCAATGTGGATACAAATCACACACATATAGGATCATGACAATTTGCTATTATTGTTGCAGTGGAGCACCATTCATGAAGAAGGTATCTGTGGAAGTTTTGCAGGTTTTCAATATATCTGTGGTGCTATAAAAAATCCTTCCAGATGCTAGAAGTAATCTTGCTGAGGTTGGGCCATTGATAATATCTACTATAAATCCACGGTAACCTCAGGAGCTGTTTTGAAGAATAATTCCAAATTTGCAAACATTATTCTACACATGACAAAATTGTAATTTTTGTGAGTTGAAACTTCTGTGAGTTGAAATGTTTCTTTCTTCATATGGGCTCAGAAAGGGCTGCCTGGGGCTGCAACTATAAGCATGTTGTGGTCATATAAAATACCTCCTGGTTTTGGTATGGAATGTATGATACCTAACCCACCATGCGTCTACCTCCTTTGCAAAGAGGGTTTATAAACGCCGAGTTGATACTCTTCCGTCGTGAGGGTACCTGCCGTGTTTCCATAGAGGCATAATCTGTTTGCTTGAGAATGTATCTGGAAAAGCAAATCAATATACCGCCTCCCGTACGAATATAAGGATCAGAATTCTTAAAAGTATACTCTGGTCAGTTCTCTTTGCGGATTTTCTGTTCGGTCCGTCTTGACTGGATTGTTTTCTCCAATTTATTGACAAGTATCAAACACTTTGCTTCTCGGATCTGAAACTGAATATCACATATCAGAAAGTCCATGAGAATTGAAACTGATGTTGAATCTGAAACATATACCTGAGAATATTTCTATCAAAACCGTATCTGAATTGCTTCATATTCGCTCTCCTTCCGAATAGTGGACTTTCCAGTAGACATCTGCTACATTTTGAATATCGTGGGTTATAATAAGGACCATGAATGCCAATCAGTGTGCTGCTCGGATCTGAAACTAAGCATCAATTTGAAATTTGAATCGTGAGACGTACATAGAATATAAATCTCTATAAAGTCTGAATATTGTTTTCAACATTCGTAACTGAAATGCGATATATTTTTATGATTATTCATCAACTCTCTCAATGCAGACGAGGTAGGCAGATAAACAACGATTTTCTCTGCAATGAAAAACACTGTATATACCTAACCCACCATGCGCCGACCTCCTTTGCAGAGAGGGTTTATGAACGCCGAGTTGATACTCTCCCCTCGTAAGGGTACCTGTCGTGTTTCCATAGAGACATAAAGGTGAATATCTGTCTATCTGTTCGCTTGAGAATCTGGAAAGGAATTCAATATATCGCCTTCCGTACGAACATAAGGATCAGAATTCTTAAAAGTGTACTCTGGTCAGTTCTCTTTGCGGATTTCTGTTCGCTCCGTCTTGACTGGATTGTTTTCTCCAATTTATTGACAAGTCTCAAACACTTTGCTTCTCGAATCTGAAACTAAATATCACATATCAGAAAGTCCATGAGAATTGAAACTGATGTTGAATCTGAAACATACCTGAGAATATTTCTATCAACCGTAACTGAATTGCTTCATATTCGCTCTCCTTCCGAATAGTGGACTTCCCAGTAGACATCTGCTACATTTTGAATATCGTGGGTTATAATAAGGACCATGAATGCCAATCAGTGTGCTGCTCGGATCTGAAACTAAGCACCAATTTGAAATTTGAATCGTGAGACGTACATATAGAATATAAATTTATAATGTCTGAATATTGTTTTCAACATTCGTAACTGAAATGCGATATATTTTTATGATTATTCATCAACTCTCTCAATGCAGACGAGGTAGGCAGATAAACAACGATTTTCTCTTCAATGAAAAACACTGTATATACCTAACCCACCATGCGCCGACCTCCTTTGCAGAGAGGGTTTATAAACGCCGAGTTGATACTCTCCCCTCGTAAGGGTACCTGTCGTGTTTCCATAGAGACGTAAAGGTGAATATCTGTCTATCTGTTTGCTTGAGAATCTGGAAAGGAATTCAATATATCGCCTTCCGTACGAACATGAGATCAGAATTGTTAAAAGTATACTCTGGTCAGTTCTCTTTGCGGATTTTCTGTTCGCTCCGTCTTGACTGGATTGTTTTCTCCAATTTATTGACAAGTATCAAACACTTTGCTTCTCGAATCTGAAACTAAATATCACATATCAGAAAGTCTATGAGAATTGAAACTGATGTTGAATCTGAAACATACCTGAGAATATTTCTATCAACCGTAACTGAATTGCTTCATATACGTTCTCCTTCCGAATAGTGGACTTCCCAGTAGACATCTGCTACATTTTGAATATCGTGGGTTATAATAAGGACCATGAATGCCAATCAGTGTGCTGCTCGGATCTGAAACTAAGCACCAATTTGAAATTTGAATCGTGAGACGTACATATAGAATATAAATTTATAATGTCTGAATATTGTTTTCAACATTCGTAACTGAAATGCGATATATTTTTATGATTATTCATCAACTCTCCCAATGCAGACGAGGTAGGCAGATAAACAACGATTTTCTCTTCAATGAAAAACACTGTATATACCTAACCCGCCATGCGCCGACCTCCTTTGCAGAGAGGGTTTATAAACGCCGAGTTGATACTCTCCCCTCGTAAGGGTACCTGTCGTGTTTCCATAGAGACATAAAGGTGAATATCTGTCTATCTGTTTGCTTGAGAATCTGGAAAGGAATTCAATATATCGCCTTCCGTACGAATATAAGGATCAGAATTCTGAAAAGTATACTCTGGTCAGTTCTCTCTGCGGATTTTCTGTTCGGTCCGTCTTGACTGGATGGTTTTCTCCGACTTAGTGGCAAGTATCAAATTTGCTTTCTGTCTGT